ATATATATATATATATATAATTTTGCTGATCACACACCATGTTGCAATATTGTTGTAGCAGATTAATAATTAACTCCAAACTGTTTGTAGTCGAATACTCAACCGCCTGCATCCCCTCACATGCAGCGAAGGATGTTCAAATATGTAAATGTCTCAGCCAGTGTCCTGTCATCTCTGCCCAGACACAGTTCGCTGCACCACAGCTGCCCACCTGGCTCTGATGGTCCCCAAAAACGTGTCCTTTTACCCAAGCAACCATGAACGCTTCACAGATGGCAACATCGATGTGTGGTGGATAGTCCACGATGGAGGAATGCTGATGCTGCTTCCCTTCCTGCTCAAACAGCACAAGGTGATTGTTTAGAGTGTTTGATGCTTATTGTTTTCATTTCATGGCAAATTTATGCAAGTGATTTATGTCGAGCCCTCAACAATTTACAGTAAAATGCGGCCGTCACCACAACACTTTTGTGCTTTAGGTCTGGAAGAAATGCAGGATGCGCATATTCACTGTTGCCCAGATGGATGACAACAGCATTCAGATGAAAAAGGATCTGGCCACATTCCTGTATCAGCTGAGAATAGAGGCTGAGGTGGAGGTGGTGGAGATGGTGAGGGGGTTCCTCTGATACAACTGAGAAAGAATGTAGTCCAATTAAAATGGCTCTTTTAAGGCTGAGACTTTAGAATGTTTTGGCTTTGTAATGAACATTGAAATTGAAACCAGATGTACTTAAACAAGCAAGTTGTTGTTTTTCAACAAGATTCCTGAAAACAAAAAAAAAAAAATCCTGAATGTTTTGAACAAAATGAAATAGCTGAGAAACAAAATTCTAATTAAAATATGACCTCAGTATAAATGATTGCAGCAAATTTTGGAGCAAAAAATAATAATCTACAGTACCTCTGCTTTCATGCTACATTTTCATAACATTTCTCAAACGGGATTTCAGCACGACAGCGACATCTCAGCATACACGTATGAGCGGACGTTAATGATGGAGCAGAGGTCCCAGATGTTACGGCAAATGAGGCTGTCCAGTGCAGAAAGACAAAGAGAGGTACGTTAAATTCCTCTACCGTTATTTGTAACTGATTTCAGACCCACAAGGAAAACCCAAGAACTAAAATAATGTAGTAGAATTTACATAGTCAGGGGTTTTAAAATAAGAATTTCAGCATGGTCGGCTGACCCTGTGACGTTGTGATGGTGCCTGCAGGCACAGCTGGTCAAAGACAGACACTCGTTGGTGCGTATGGGCAGTCTTTACTCAGACGAAGAGGAGGAGTTGGATGTTCCTCCAGGGAAAGTTCAGATGACGTGGACCAGAGAAAAGAATGAGGCCGAAAGTCGAAACCGAAACAACGCTCCTGAGAACTTCAGGGAACTCATGAGCCTCAAACCGTGAGTCAAGTTGAACTTATTTTCCCCGAATATTWTATATATTTTTTGCTTTCTTAAAACTTTCAATATCTCAAGTTAAAATAGTACAAAAATGAGTTCCTTGGTGGACCAACATGCCCCCCTTTGCTCCCAGGGATCAGTCCAATGTACGACGTATGCATACAGCTGTGAAGCTGAACGAAGTAATAGTCAACAGGTCCCACGATGCTCGATTAGTGCTGCTCAACATGCCGGGCCCACCTCGCAATACGGATGGAGACGAAAACTGTATCCTTTTCTTCTATTATTATTTGGGTCAACAAATCTGCTTGTTGCTATTTACAGAGTGTAAAAAAGTTTCATGYCATTTTTTTGTATTGTCCTTTTAACTTGCTGCTCAGACATGGAGTTTTTGGAAGTGCTGACCGAGGGTTTGGAAAGAGTTCTGCTGGTGAGAGGAGGAGGACGGGAGGTCATCACAATCTACTCATGACCAGTCAGTAATTATTAAGTGGAGAYTCTGGCCATGTGCAGTATACATTCCACCTTGGGATGAGCAGCAACACTTTTTTATTTTTTTGTACTTCAGGACAATTCAAAGGAATTTGTTTTAGATGTATGAACTTTTGAGYGCAAAAGGGTTTCATTCTATTCTTGTAGAATACTGATACTCAGACAAAAACTCTTACACATGAAAACTTGCTTGTAAAACTTTTGCAAAAAATATTTTTTTACGATCACAGTAGGTCACAAAGTTAGTAAAATATTAATTGTACCAGAACATTTTTAAATCAAAGTATTAAAATCAKAATTGTAAGATGGCGAAGCCTTTGTGCTGTGGACCAACTGTTTGTTTTGGATT